AAGTATTCGGGGTCTGGGAACAGACACCATTCACCTTTCCCCACTCTGCTGAGACCATACCACCGGAAGTCCTAAATTTCAATATTTTAATACCTTAAATACATCAACCATCAGAAACAATACAATCCTTCACCTTTGTTTTTATAATTAATTTTATATAATTCAATTTTTACAATCCCAATAATTTCCCCTTAAATAAATCATTTTATATCAAATCAGATATATTGTCATTTAAATTCAATTTTTAAAATTCCAATATTTTTAATTTTATTCATTTCCATTTCATTTACCAAATCTCCTGTTATTCAAATAATATAGTCACCAATATTAATCCTAATAATATTGTTAATACAATTATTACTTTACATATATTTCATATTACCCTTCCTCCTGTCCATTAATTCTTTAACCATTTTCTCCTGATCCATCTAATATACCACCAATTTTCTTTTTCCCCTTTTCTTCCTTTTATAGTTATCCTCTCTTTTATTCTCTTCTGTTCTATTCCCCTTTTCTTCTTTTACCTTCCTTGTTTCCCCATTGTTAATCCCAATGTAATCATTAAAAAAAATTTCTCGCCTAGATTGCCCTCTATTCTCAGCTGATCTATTCCCCTTTTTTCCTCTCTGCTTCTTTCTGACCTCTCTATTTTTAGCACTGTTAATCTCAGTGTAATCATTGAAACTATTATTCACTCTCTCTTTTTCATTGCTATTCCCAATGTAATCATTTAATTTTTCATCAGTGTCTTTGTTCTCAATATTATTTTCTTGCTTCTCATTAGTAGCTTGTTCATCCTGTTGACTATGCTCCAGAAAAATTCTTGACCGGAAGCATCATGGTGAGACTGGCTGGGAAAATACCAGGCTCTAATGAGCCTGGTGAAAACTCAGCCAGACGAACCACTGTCGGGGTTGTGTGTGTGTGTCTTTGGACCAGAACCATCCTGTAGGAACAGTGAAGAAGGAGAGGCATCTTGGATGGCTAAAGAAGAACAGGCAAGTTCCTTGGAAAGCCAGAGAAAACTCTTCGATCCAACGACGGGATGGCAGCAGCCATTGCGACTACCATGAAGCCGGGGCATCCGGAATAAGAATTGTGCAGGAGCGAAGATTTGGATGGAATATTGGTACTGGGAGAGTGATTGGACAACTCACAGGTAATAAAGGAAAAAAAATGGGAAATTTTAAAGCTATCCCGGCATGGAAACAGCAGCTAAATAGTGTCGGGGGAAGTTAATTGACAGAGAAGACAGAAAGCGAAGTAAAAAACATTAAAGCCCAAAACGGAGTTTGATGTTTAAATCTTAAATGTGGATACTGAATTTGGAGAGGCTAAATTTATTATAAGAAAAAGAAACCCAAAAGAAAATACTTTTGGAATAGGATTGGATATAAACTGTAAGGAAAATTTTGAACTTTAAAGAAAGATTAAAAAATAAAGAAACCCACAATAGAAAAGCCCTGTTAAAGAGTTTAAAATGAACTGGAACATAAAGTTGGAAATTGGAAAATATAAAAAACTTAGAAGAGGAAGAAAGTAAGTTAATTGGATTCAATATACAAAACTGGATACTTTGTTAAATTGTTGATTTGGAACTTGTGGATTCTAGAGAGCCATCTACTGGCAGAAAAAAAAAGTACTACATTGAACACTTTAAATATGGGAAATCTACTGTGTTCTTGAGGAACGAGCCTTGAGAGTTTGTAAGGAGGATTTGTTTGCCTTTTCAACATTGATAATACAAGAGGTGGAAAACAACAAACTTTAAATTGGAGCTAAAAAGTAACTAGAATATCAAAATGTGGCAAGAACTAATCAAGATGGTCCAAATGGTATGTTTATCATTTGATGTGGACAGTATTATGTACTTTTATTAGCAGTATATTTATTGTAGCATTTTTTTATTATTAAAAAGTTTTATCAAATATTACAACAATTTTTCCCATCCCTCCTCCCCCTATCCCTCTTTCACCCACCCCCCATCCCTCCTGCCCCCTCTCCCCCCACCCCCCACCCCTCCCCCACCCCGGACTTCCCAGAGCAAATACAGGGTATAGCATTTAACAAATATAAACTAAAATATGCTAACTTTCTATAGACTCCAAACTCCCTCTTGCTCTTTAATGCCCCTTCCAACTAACAAAACATAATTCAAAAAGAAAAAATAATTCTGTTTTTCTTTTTTTTTCATTCATAAACTATTTGAAACTTTTTAGTCTGATATTTGTTTTGAATATAGTCAATCCATCTTCTCCATTCCGATATATATCTTTCATTTGAATGCAGCATACATTTCAAGTATGCTGAAATTTTTGCCATCTTGGCTAAATTCACTACTTTTAATATCCATTCTTCAATAGTAGGTATATCTTCCTTCTTCCAATACTGTGCCACCAAAAGTCTGGCTGCTGTTATTAAATTTAAAATCAATTTAGTCTCTATAACCGTACAATCTGTAATTATACCCAACAGAAAGAACTGTGGAGTAAATTTTATCTTCTTCTTGAGAATATTTTGGATATTCCACCATATTTTTATCCAAAATGCCTTAATTTTTTTACATGTCCACCATATATGATAATACGTGGCATCATCACATTCACATCTCCAAAACTTAGGTTGCAAACTTAGATACATACAGGCTAGCTTTTTAGGATCTAGATGCCATCTATAAAACATTTTATAAAAGTTCTCTCTTAAATTTTGGGCTTGCGTAAACTTCACATTTCTAACCCATATTTTTTCCCACATTTCCATCATTATTGGTTCTTCAATATTTTGTGCCCATTTTATCATACAGTCCTTAACTAGCTCCGTTTCTGAATCTATTTCTACCAATGCATTATACAACCTTTTTATATGCATTTGACTTTGGTCTCTAATTTGTTTTACCAAGTTCTCCTCATTCTGCAAGATACCAGTTTTCTGATCTTCTCTCCATCTAGCTTGCAGCTGTCCATACTGAAACCATGTTTGAATTATCTTTTCTTCTCTTAATTGATTCAAAGATTTTAGTTGTAATATACCTCTTTCCTTATTAAGAAGCTCTTTATAAGTAGTCACATCTTGTTTTTGCTCTACACTTATATTCTCTATCGCGTGTCTGGGTATTGCCCATATTGGTAACTTATCGTTTAATTTATACTGATACTTTTTCCAGACACGCAATAAAGCATTCCTTAATATGTGACTTTTAAAAGTCTTATCTACTTTCTTGTCATATAATAAATAAGCATGCCAACCGTAAACCAAATCATATCCCTCAATATTCCATATTCTTTCTTCTGTTGAATTCATCCAGTCACTAATTGCTGATAGGGCAGCTGTCTCATAATATAATCTTAAATTGGGCATTTTGAGACCTCCTCTTTCACGTATATCCTACATTATTCTTTGCTTTATTCTCAGTCTCTTTCCTGCCCAGACAAAATTATTAATACCCTTCTGCCATATCTTCAAATTTTCAACTTTTTAAAGTATTGGTATCATTTAAAAAAGAAACAAAAACTTAGGCAAAACATTCATTTTTACTGCTGCTATTCTTCCTAACAAGGATAATTGTAATTTTTTCCAATTTTCCATCTCTCTCTGTAATTTTTGCCACAACGGATCATAGTTATGCGTGAATAATTTCGCATTTGATGTCATAATATAAACCCCCAAATACTTAACATTTTTTACTATTTCAAATCCTGTTAATCTTTCTAATTCATCTTTTTGATTTGTAGTCATGTTTGTAGTTATTATCTTCATTTTCCCTGCATTTATTTTAAATCCAGATACTTGCCCATATTGCTTAATTATATTCATTAAACCTACAACCGACTGTAATGGTTGGGTTAAAGTAACAACCAAGTCGTCTGCAAATGCTCGTAATCTGTAATCATACTGCCTAATTTTAATTCCCTTTATTTTATCTGACCCACGTATCTTACTCAACAAAAATTCCAAGGTCAAAATAAACAATAATGGAGATAAGGGACATCCTTGTCTTGTTCCTTTTTCTATATTAAAAGTATCTGTAAAAATAATATTAATTATTATTTGCGCTGTTTGTTTCTGATATATTGCCTTAATAGATTGTGTAAAATGTTCTCCAAACTGCATCTTTTCTATTATTTTCAATAAGAAATGCCAGTTCAATCGATCGAATGCTTTCTCCACATCAAGAAATATTAGCACCGCAGGGACTTGGTTGTTCTTCCCCAAATACTCTAATAGGTTAACCACTTGCTTTACATTACTTTTAATTTGTCTACCATTTATAAAACCAGTTTGATCATTATGAATCAATTGTTGCATGACTGTCATTAACCTATTTGCTAGTATTTTAGCAAAAATGTTATAATCTGTATTTAAAAGTGATATAGGCCTGATTTTTTTGGCTGGGTGTGGTCTTGCTCCTCCTTTGGAATCAAAGAAATAAAAGCTGTCCTCCAGGATGGGGGTACATCTCCTCCAGATTGTATATTAGTAAATAGTTCCTTAAGTGGTCCCACCATTTCTAACTACAAGTATTTGTAATAAGTGGCTGTCAAACCATCTGTCCCAGGGGCTTTACCCACTTTCAACTGCTTAATTGCAAGCATGATCTCTTCGGAAGTTATTGGTTGATTTAAACCCTCCCTTTGCTCTTTTGTAATTATAGAAATATTCTCTTTTTGTAAATATCCATCTATATTTATACTTTGAATTTTATCACTAGCATACAACCTCGTGTAAAAATGCTTTTTTAATCATATTTTGCTGATAAACCTCTTTACCTTTATATTCTATTTTCTCTATAGTCTGTAACTTTTGTTTTTTCCTTAACAGATATGCTAACCATCTGCCTGGTTTGTTAGCATTGCAAAAAGTATTGTGTTTAGCATATTGCAAGTTAGTTGCAACCTGATCTGCCATTAACATATTAAATTGCCTTCGCAGTAAGTTAATTGCTTCTTTTGTTTTCTTGTCTGCTGGATTCAATATCAAGGCTTGTTCTTTTTTTTTTTTAATTTTCTCTTCTAGGTCCTTCCTTTTTTTCCCCTGTTTATGTCTCTGTTTATTATTCAAATATATCAAAATACCTCTCATATATGCTTTACTTGCATCTCAAACCATTTCCATAGATGTACCCTTATGCATATTCATAATGAAAAATTCATTCATAAATTTTTTACATTCTTTTACATTTTCCTCATATCTAAACAGATTTTCATTTAACGTCCAAGACCTCTTAAATCCCTTTCCATACTCCAATACCATCCAAACTGGACTATGATCCGTTAAAACTCTTGGACATATCTTCGTCTTCTTCACCCTAGAAAAGAGATCATTGGTAATTAATATAAAATCAATCCTAGAAAAAGATTGATGTCTGTCAGAAAAAAAGGTAAAATCTTATATAATGAAGCTATGGAGAAAGCCAAAATACCAAACTCATGGACAGAAGCCATAATAACAATCATTCCAAAAGAAGATACAGATCTCCAGTTAATACAAAACTATAGACCTATTTCATTATTGAATGCCGATTACAAAATATTTGCAGCAATCTTGGCCGAAAGGATTAAATCAGTATTAAATACATATATACACCCAGACCAAAATGGATTTCTGCCGGGACGCCAAATAAAGAACAACATGAGAATAATACTTAATGCTCTAGAATATTATGAATCACACCCGGAGAAGCAGGCAGCGTTGGTTTTTCTTGACGCCCAAAAGGCCTTCGATAATCAAAATTGGAAATTTATGATTGAACAACTACAAAATATGCAAATTGGGGAAAAATTTGGGAAAATTATAGCAGAAATCTATACCAAGCAATCAGCAAGGATAATTATGAATGATGACATAACAGACAAATTTAATATAACAAAAGGAGTCAGACAAGGCTGTCCACTTTCCCCCTTACTATATATTCTATCATTGGAAATCCTGTTGAAAAAAATTAGAGAAGACCAAGGAATTGAAGGTTTAAGGATCAATAGAGAAGAATACAAAGCTCAAGCCTTTGCTGATGACCTAGTGTTTTTGACAGAAAATCCTATGGAATCTATACCTAATTTGTTCCAAAAAATAGAAGAATTTGGAGAAGTGGCTGGACTAAAAATCAATAAAAGTAAATCGAAGCTAATTGTAAAAAACCTTACGGAAATCCAAACAAAAGAATTGACAGATAATATATAAAACCAAACAACAACAAAAAATAAAATATCTAGGAATCTGGTTATCTACAAGAACATCAGCAATTAAAGAAAACAATTATGATAAATTACTAGAACAAACAAAGAAAGACTTAGAAAAATGGAAAAATTTACACATTTCATTCCTAGGAAGAATTTCGGCCATCAAAATGACTATATTACCTAAATTTTTATATTTGTTTCAGGTCACCCCAATTAAAATAGATAAACCGTTTTTTGAAAAGCTGAATAAAATAACATCTAAATTTATATGGCAAGGGAAAAGGCCACGAATAAAATTTAAACTGCTTCAGGATACAAAAGATAGAGGAGGAGCTGCACTCCCTGACTGGGAGATATACTACCAAGCAGCAGTACTATTGTGGGTCAAAGATTGGATAGAATTAAAGGACTCTAGAATTTTAACAATTGAGGGACACGAACTTCAACCTGGCTGGCACTCCTTTATGTGGGATGAGAAATACAAAACACATTCATATTTTAAAACACACACAATAAGGAACTCATTATTACAAATTTGGCTTAAAACTAAAAAACAACATTATATGAAGATACCAAATTGGCTAGCACCGGCAGAATCAATTAGGCACCCAAATTTAACAGATAAGACAAAAATAATTAGATATAAAGATATAATTGACTATCAAGGCAAATTAAAGACAAAACAACAATTGGAGACAGATTTACACAGAGAAATAGACTGATGGATTTACATTCAAATACAATCCAAATACAGAGAACATATAAAAACATATGAAATTTATAATCAAAAACAAGAAATAGATAAAATTATATTAGATTCAGAAAATAAATTAATTAGTAGAATTTATAAATTTCTTCATCGCTATAAATTGGAAGAAGAGACAGTCAAAGAAACGATGATTAAGTGGGCTCAAAACATCAAACACACAATACCTTTGGAAAAATGGGGAAAGTTCTGGCAGGTAAACCTAAATTTAACGAAAGCAACGGCGTACAAGGAAAACCAACTGAAAATGTTTTATCGGTGGCATATGTCTCCAACCAGATTGGCAAAAATACAACCTAAAAATAGCCCGATTTGTTGGAAGTGCAAAAAGGCACAAGGGACTTTCTATCATTTATGGTGGACGTGCCCAGCAGCAAAGAAATTTTGGTCTAACATCAAAAAATGGTTGGAACAAATAATAAAAACACAGATTGAAAAAGAACCAGAAACATTTTTATTAGGAATCTTTAATAAATCATACCCTAAGGATATCAAATATCTTACAATTCATATATTTACTGTTGCAAGAATAACCTACGCAAGAAATTGGAAACAAGAAAAAATACCAAGTGAAACAGAAGTAATAGGGAAAATTTTAGAATGTGCTGAAATGGATAGGTTAACCAAAGAATTACAAGAAAGAGAAGAATCAGACTATTATAAAATATGGAATAATTGGTATAATTGGTTAAAAATCAGAAATATACAAAAAATATAGGGGATATATTATCGATTTATATATATATATATATATATATATATATATATATATATATATATATAAAAAATATTATTAGATTAAGGAGAGGTGAAGGAATATATCATAAGTAGAATTGTAGAACGTCACTCTGAAAAAATGCTTAAGAAGAAATTACACTCTTTTTGTGTATATGTTGTATAAATGTTTGCTGTGTATATGTTACGTATGTCTTTTTTAATATTTATATTCAATAAAAACTACTTAAAAAAAAGGTAAAATCTTTTTCTTCAGAGTTCCTCTCTCGCCAGATATCTCTCAACTCCATGTCATCCATCATTTCAAAAAACGATTTTGGCAATCTGGCATGCATTGAGATATTTTGCAAGAGCCCCTTCTTATCTTTTTTAGTGTCCAAAACTCCATTCCAATCACCAAATAAAATGCATGATTTATAATCCCATTGTACTAACTTGGAATGTAAAAGCTTGTAAAATTTTTCCTGTTGTTGGTTCGATGCATATACTCTAATTAAAAGTATTTTTCCCCTTTTATTAAAAGTTCAATTGCTATGAATCTTCCTTGATCATCTGCTTCAATTAGTTTAGCAATTAAGTCTTTTTTTAGGTATATAACTATACCATTCTTCTTCTCGGGAGCAGATGCAACAAAATGTGTACCTAGCCTTGCGTTTATTAGATATTTTTCATTTTTCATTCTAATATGCGTCTCTTGTAGACAGATTACTTCATTTTAAACTGTTTCAAATAATGAAATATTTTCCTCCTCTTTTGTGGTGAATTTAGGCCATTAACATTCCAAGTCAGAAATCTAGTTGCCATTCTTAATTCTTCTTTATACTTGGCTGCCACTCGGGTCTGTCTTTGATCCTTAGGTTCTTCTATTTTTTCGAATACATCCAAAGCTTGAGCAGTTGAAAGTTGTATTAAACTTTCGAAAAGTTGTATTAAATCTTCTTGAATAATCAAAGCTCCCTTTTGGGCCTGTGCCAGCGATTCTTCCTTCTCCCCCTTTCTTGCCCCCTCTGCTTCCGTCTTCCTTCTAGCTTCTGGGGACTGTGGGCATCCAGCCTTTTACACCTTTTACATTGGTATAAAAATCTCTTGCCTTCCACACTGAATTAAGACGATATCTTTCTCCTGAATAGTTCACCACTAGTCCAGCTGGAACCTATTTGGATCCGCTCCAGTCCGGTTTCAGACCTGGGTACAGCACGGAAACGGCATTGGTTGCGTTGGTGGATGATCTCTGGAGGGCTCGGGATAGGGGTTACTCCTCTATCCTGGTCCTGTTAGACCTCTCAGCGGCTTTTGATACCATCGACCATGGTATCATGTTGCGCCGGCTGGAGGGACTGGGAGTGGGGGGCACCTTTTTGCGGTGGTTCTCCTCCTATCTCTCTGACCGGTCGCAATCCGTGTTGACAGGGGGGCAGCGGTCGACCCCGAGGCGCCTTGTTTGTGGGGTGCCACAAGGGTCGGTCCTCTCGCCCCTCCTGTTCAACATTTATGTGAAGCCGCTGGGTGAGATCATCCGTGGTTTTGGGGTAGAGTTCCATCAGTACGCTGATGATACTCAGCTGTACATCTCCACCCCAGACCATCCCAACGATGCCTTGGAAGTGATGTCCCAGTGCCTGGAGGCCGTGCGGGTCTGGATGGGGAGAAACAGGCTTCGACTCAACCCTTCCAAGACCGAGTGGCTGTGGCTGCCGGCATCCCGGTATAGCCAGCTGACGCCATCGCTGGTTATTGGGGGTGAATCATTGGCCCCCACGGAAGGGGCCCGCAACTTGGGCGTCCTCCTGGATGCACGGCTGTCCTTAGAAGGGCATCTGACGGCCGTGGCCAGGGGGGCTTTTTATCAGGTTCGCCTGATACGCCAGTTGCGCCCCTTTCTGGATCGGGACTCCCTACGCACAGTCACTCAAGCACTCGTCACTTCTCGTCTGGACTATTGTAACGCTCTCTACATGGGGCTCCCCTTGGGGTACACCCGGAGGCTCCAACTGGTGCAGAATGCGGCCGCGCAGGGGATTATGGGAGCGACTGGGCGCTCCCATGTGACTCCTCTCCTGCGCGAGCTGCATTGGCTTCCGGTGGACTTCCGGGTGCGCTTCAAGGTGTTGGTGACCACCTTTAAAGCGCTCCATGGCTTAGGGCCGGGGTACTTACGGGACCGCCTTCTGCCACCAATTGCCTCCCACCGGCCAGTTCGCTCCCACAGAGAGGGCCTCCTCAGGGTGCCGTCGGCTAGACAATGCCGGCTGGCGACCCCCAGGAGGAGAGCCTTCTCTGTGGTGGCACCTACCCTTTGGAACAATCTACCCCCAGAGATACGAGTGATCTCCGACCTCCGGACCTTTCGTCGGGCCCTAAAAACTCATCTCTTTCAGTTAGCCGGTCTCTCTTGATTTTATGATTTTATGGTTGGTTTTAAATTTTGATATGGATTTTAAATTGATAAATTTTAAACTATGGGCCAAATTTAATTATTTTAAATCTATTTTTAATCGTATTTATGTATAAATGTTTTTATTTTGGCTGTTCACCGCCCTGAGTCCGAAAGGAGAAGGGCGGTATAGAAATTCGAATAATAAATAAATAATAAATAAATAACCTCCCATCTGTACTGTATCTGACGGT